CTCTTAGCTATGGTTGGTGTGTGTGTGTGTGGGGGGGGTGTCGGCTAGCGTTCAGGGGGTCATATATTCGGCTATGTGTAACAGAGGCTGCACTAACTGTCACAAACACGTCTTGGATCGTAAATAACATACCTTCGCCATGACGGTGCAAATTGTTTTTTCCCTAGATAAGCTACTTCTTGCCCATTCGTGCCTCTGTGTTGTTTACAGATACTCCAATATTAAGTCCAGGCATGTGTAAACTAGAAGAATTGCACACACCTATAACAAATCCTGGAAAGATTTACAGCACACGTCCACTACTTCCTTTGAAATACGAGTATTGGACATACTTGCTTTGCATGGGCACACTTTGTGTCGACGCGAAGCCGATTCATGAGAACCAAGGAGCTTTCATCAACACGCTCCTTGCGAGAACTGAGGCTATTTTTGTTTGCAACTGAAGAGAATGCCTGCACGCCTGAAGGCACACAGAGCACCTGTTACGGCACCTGTCAAGTTCAGCAGATAGCATCTGAAGCCCGCAGACGGACAGTTACGGGCGGGAGGCACGATGACAAAATAAGGAGAAAACTATCCCACGTCCGTCACACATAGCTGAATACGGCCTCCCGGACACAAGCCGAACTCCCCCAACCTCACTTCATTTTCTCAGCCGTAAACCTTCGCTACTGCCCCCGTCAAGTCCGTGAGACCGCATATTTCAGTCTCGTTCGCTCTACTATAGAGTATGGTGCAGTTATCTGGGATCCTTATCTGAGAAAGGATATTGACACACTTGAAATGGTCAACCGACGTGCTGCTCGCTTTGTGACCAGTAACCACCGTCGTCAGGATGTCAGCGTCACAGCCCCCCTGCATGACCTGAGATGGCCGTCACTTCAGTCTCGACGACAGCAAGCACGACTAGTAATGATGTATAAGATAAGCAATGGTCTCGTGGCTATCCCATCCAGTCGGCTTATCCCGGCAGTTGCTCGTACCTGTGCCAACCACGCCCACAAGTACAAGACTCTGAGACCACACTGTGACATTGCAAAATACTAATTCTATGCTAGGACAATTCCTGAATGGAATAACCTTTCTGCCGACGTAGCTGAGAGTCCATCATTACAAACTTTTAAGAATCGTTTATCGTCACTTCCGTAATCATGTGTATATCTCCCCTCTGCGCGATGTCCCTGTATGTAGGGAATTTGCAGAGTAGTAGCTAGAACTAGAACTAGAACTAGGAGTAGGTCGGAGCAAGGTCGGCTGATGTTCGGCGAATTCGGCTAAGTCGGCTACTATTCGGCTTCGAATCTCCCGAACACTAGCCGAACTACGTGCCACAACCATGGTTAGGTGTAGGTCGTGAGCAAAGGGCTGGGTTAGCTGTGTAACAGTGGGGGGTTTATAGGCACTACCAACTGAACAGGCGGTGGGTCTAGACCTTTTAGCCGAGTGGTTTGAGCGTCGGGTTATGAAGCCGGTGCTCGGGAGATCGTGGGTTCGAACCCCGGCTCGGGACCAGGGGTTTTATCTGTTTCTACTCTTTCTAGTAGCTCCTCCTGTTTCTTACAGCTGGTCAAAACATCCGGGTGTGGACAGGAAGTTCGGCCATTATTAGCTGGTGGTAACAGGTGGTTGGTTCGTGTTCGGGAGTAGGTCGGCGCGTGGTTGGCAGTCAAATTTGACTCAAAAGGTCAATTCGTATTCGTAAAGAAGAGTAGGCGTGGCTTAAATCTGGTCAGACTGCTCCCGAACTTCAGCTAACCAGGTCGGCAAGTGTTTGGGAACAAATTCGGGGGAAGACTTTAGTCTGCTGGTGTTTGGGGGAAGGTCCTGAATGTATTTCAACTACCTGTATTAGTATAGTTCCTTTTGTTTTTCATGAAGTTTTGAAACGGCGTTTCTGCAAACATCTTAAACTTCTCTAACAGGTGGTGCACAAAGGCGTCTCGGATCGTTGACAAACTACAAAGGAGGTTATAGTATTATTTGTTTATACAACTGAAGAGAATTCCTGCACGACTGACGCCCACACAAACAGAGCACTTGCCATGCAGGGCGGCGAACAGTAGCCGACTATAGCCGATCTTACTCCCGACTAACTCCCAACTATGGTTGGGAGGAGGAATGCATTCCGGACGTGATATGCGGCTATGTGTGGCGAGGGATTTAGTTAAGCCGAGATACATGATATTTTTTTCATTATGTCATGTCTTGTAACCGGTACAATAGCTCAATTAGTAGAGTGCTCGCTTTGTAACCGGGAGGTCGTGAGTTCAAACCCCGGCCGGGTCATACCAAAGACTTTAAAATGGTACACACTTCTTTCTCTGCTTAGCACTCAGCACATATGAGAAAGAGTGTGGGAAGGTCAAACACACAGCACTACCAGCGGACTAGCCCCCTGCTGTAGTGCCCTGCACAACTGTGTGTCACCCAAGGGATATGGAAATGGACATGGGAACCAAACCCTATACTCTGCATAGAGCACGGGAGACCTTTTTTCATGTCTTGCATAAGAATTCGAGGCAGCACATTAGTCCTATTCCCCTGCCCAATTTGACTTCAATGAGAACATGCATGACCTTTTCGACGTAGCGGTCGGCTGGAGTACAATGTGCCTCAAAGGTCACATTTTCAGGACCTTTCCCCGACATTACCCCTCAACACCTGAAGTTGGTCGGCTGAAGCAGTCTGGCCAGATTTAGGCCACGCCTACCTTTTTTTATGCAAATCAAAACGAATTTAAGTTAAATTTGAGTCATGTTTGACAGCCGAACACGCCCCGACTTACTCCCGAATGTTTTACTGGTGTTTGGTTAAACGTACAGCGGAGCCCCACTCAACCGTGTCCGAACCTCCCGACCAACCCCCGAATGTTTGGCGCAGCCGAATAGCAGCCGACTACTTAGCCGAATTACGACCTACTCCTAACCATGGTTGTGGGGAGTTCGGCTAGCGTTCGGGATTCGGCCATGTGTGACAGTGGCTTTAATCACAAGATGTCCTTTTCGACATAGTAGCCGGTTGGAGCACAACAACTGTTATACTAGTACGTCAAAGGTTAAAACACATTAAGAAATGTCATTGTGGCGGACGTAATCACAGTTCAAAACCAGCATAATGTGTGATGTGCGAAGTCATTGCATTTACAATTTTGTACGAAATCATACAATCATACAAATTTTTTTTCTACGTGATTTGAAAAGTTAACATAAACTCTTGACCTATGATGAACAATAATGATGTATACATACTTGCGTGACTGAGTTGTTTGCCTGCGTGACTGAATTGTTTGTACAAGACAAAACAATTTTCGCAGAAGAATTGAAGGATAACCTTTTATCTTCCTCTCAATAATTACCATGACCTCGGGCACAGTGTGGGCAGACATTTTGCTAACTTCTTCAAAGACGTCAAAGGCGTTTTCTTGTTAAAACCGGTTCTGCAACATTCCCCAGAAGTCTGAGGTGAGACGGGGACTCAGTTGGGCTGTCACCTGTGGCGCTGGCAGGTGTTCAAAAAAACCCGCCGCGCGGTGCCGTTACAAAGCGGGCAGACGCAGGTACACTGGCCGGGGGGCGAGGAGAGGTCTGACCGTGGTGAAGACGCCGGAATCTACGACGCTTTTCTGAAGACAGGTGAGTTAGTTACCGTTGATTTACCACAACTTGTCTCTACAAAATGACATTAGGCCATGTAACTTGTATCCATCTGCTATTAAAAGCACAGTTTACAAAGTTTTGTCACACATAGCCGAATATAGCCTCGCGAACGCTAGCCGAACTTCCCAAGATCGGTGACAAGGTGGGGTTCGAACCCGGGATCTCTTGGTTCCAAGCCGAAGACGCTACGGCCACACAACCCCATGATGAATGTGTGACGGGCTTAAGTGCTTAAGTGACAGAAAGGTGTGTAATCCTCCAGTATCACTAAAAACAGATTACATAATTATGAAGAATACTTTGTGCAAAGCTTATTTTCAAGCGGTCCAATTGAGATCTGCTCAATGACTCTGATGTTTGTTCGAAATAATGCGACTAAATTCGGCGTTACCGTGGCGCCACATTCGTCGTCGTATGTACATGTTGTCGTAAGATTTTGAAGCCGCAGAATACGTATTCCAGCAGACAATGACAGAGCCAACGGACGACAAGGATTTAAGGCAACTGAGTTTAGGAGAATGCCCCCAGTTTGTGTATTTGCGATCGTTCGTACGACGATCGCAGGGCATATGTGACCTGGCCATTAGCCAAAACATTTTGTGACAAAGGCTATAGTGGTTCGGAGTAAGGTTCTGTCAAGTAGAGAGCACAAAACAGGGCTTCGGAGAACAGGTGGGCGGGATTTCATTCAGAGTTATTTGCCATTTCTTTTGTTATATTCGAACAAATAATCACAAGACGTGGTGACGGCACACTCAAGTTTCATTCAACTTATATTAATGCCACCACCAACACATAGGACAGTAAAATACTCATTTTCACCTGAGCGGAGTGAGGAAAGTCGTGTAAAGTGCCTCTCCTAAGGGCACAAGATCCGTGGTATGTCAGGACTCGAATCCGGGACCTCTTGGTTCCGAGTCGAGCACTCTGCCGCTACGCCACACGACCCCACATTTGTTTTTCCATTTGTGCCGTTGTACATGAGTAAAGTCCCTGTCTCACACCCAACCATGGTTAGAGGTAGGAAGGTCGGCTACTGATCGCCTGCGCCAGCCGAATATTCAAAAATGTTTTAAACATTCTGTTGGTGTTCGTGAGTAGGTCGCTGCGTGGTTGGTAGTAGATTTAGACTCAAATTTAACTCAAATTTGATTTGTATAGAAAGGTATGTGTGGCCAGCGAAATCTGGTCAGACTGCTCCCGAACTTAAGCCAACCTTGGTCGGCTGGTGTTCGGGGAAGGTTCTGAATGTGTGACAGGGGCTTCAGCCAACCTTGGTCGGCTGGTGTTCGGGGAAGGTTCTGAATGTGTGACAGGGGCTTCAGCCAACCTTGGTCGGCTGGTGTTCGGGGGAAGATTCTGAATGTGTGACAGGGGCTTCAGCCAACCTTGGTCGGCTGGTGTTCGGGGGAAGGTTCTGAATGTGTGACAGGGGCTTCAGCCAACCTTGGTCGGCTGGTGTTCGGGGGAAAGGTTCTGCATCTGTGACAGGGGCTTACGGCTGGGTTTGACCTGACCGCTCTTCAATAAATGGAATGCGACAGTACAAATGTTTTCATCTTTTTATATTTAGAGCTCATAATCAGGTATGTGGCGACTCTTTGAAACATAGCAAGTTTGGTAAGAAAAGTCGGACTACGTCCCTTTGTCAAAATCGCTTCATTCTAATTCACGCATGACAGACAGTTGTTATTTCAAAAAGAAAGAAAATAACTTCGTGTAAGAAGTATAAGTACTCATTTCTCATGCTAGTCACACTAGCTTACCCCTCATACAAGACACCTTGGCTCTTCGCACAATGCCATTAATATTTGAAGAGACAACAAAAAGGGTGATTTTTTGTTTGTTTCGCATTACCCGTAAATCTCCTTTGTACAGGTTTATACAGTAAGCACCATGTTTATCTTGACATAAAACTCATAGAATTCTATTTTTATGAATTTCTAGAGATATTTCTGTACTCTAGTTTGATAGTAATCATTTATACCCTATAAAAGCTGTATCTGGATCACTTTGGACGATTCTAACGGCCATACGCATATATTATTTCTACTACCTGCGTGCAACTCAAGCTGTCAGACCTGTCATACCAACAACAAGACAAGCCCAGAGTCAGCTCCAGTTACGCCTACGTAACTCTGTACATCTCCACATCCCTAGATGTAGGACCAACATCTACAAGAACAGTTTTATCCCCTACACATCCCGGCTCTGGAACAGTCTACACAGACACATCACCGACTCTTCCACACTCAGTCAATTCAGGGCTAACTGCAGAAACCACAATTGTCCTGATTTTCATTTTTGCCCTGATTTTACACTAATATCTTAAGTAACTCTAAGGATTCTACTCATTCCAACTTGTGTCCACACATTCATGCATGATTTGCTGCTAGATAGGAAGTTTTTTTTGCATATTTATCTGTTCGCATTACGTGTAATTTGTATTGTCTTCTGCCACCAATTAAGGATGTTAACATTATTTCTTGTTTTGAATTTTGCAGTTAGATTTCTTTATCTATGTTTGTATAACGTCTGTATTTGTGGGTCATCTACTATCAGTTTCGACTGCCTTGATACTAATGTGTTGTCAGTCCCCAATAAAGGAAAAGTAAATTAAAAGTAAAAACTCACAGGTTGAGTTTTGTATACAAAGCTCTGAAGGACTTACAAAGAAATGGCGGACACGGGATTTCCGCTAGGGTGGGATCTTTGACGTGCTCGAGGTGTGGCTCTTCTCAAACACAGGACCTCCGCTTTTACGCCCCTAGCCTCTACCAGGCTTCGGGAACGGCAAAGTACTATCTATCGTACCAACTCCCCAGGCATATTACCTACTTGGCCAATTTCTACTCTTTCCAGCCGCTTCCCGAGGCCTGGTAGAGGCTATACGTCCCATCCGAGAAAACGTCCCCAATGCTTAGGTCACATTTCCAAACCGGGGCCCAGCTGTTTGTATGAACGAAAAAAGTTACAATATACGATAGAAATAATGCCCATGATTGTTATTTAGAACTTTTCTGCGTTTTTTCCTTTATCGTATTCTTCGTTCCCTAAAGCTACCCGGCCGGGCCCCACGTAGGAATTGTGATCTCAGCATAACTAAAACAAGGTTACATGTACTCATTTTCACCTGACTCAAGTGAGCTAATAGGTGTAAAGTGCATTTACGAACACAATAGTTGGGATTTAAACTCAGAACCCTCAGATTTTGTGTGGGACCACCAGTCGTTCCGCTACGTTCCACGCAGTAGGTGTATATAAGGACTGAATGCCCGGGATTTCAGATGTTTGGTCTTGGTCTGTGAAGTACAAAGAGATCGCGGATTTTGCTCTCATGGACAACCACTGAACGGTAAAGGCCATTTGCAAAATAAAAGTTTCTGAGGACAGACAAGGCGCCTAAAAATGTGGCGCATTTGTGAAGTAGATGTGGGGTAACCAGAAGATGTTCAGAGCAGGTTTTTGAACGTTATGTGGGGTCGCGTGGCGTAACGGTAACGTGTTCGGCTCAGGACCAAGAGGTCCAGGGTAGGGCTCTCAGATAGGACGTTAATTTGAGTTCCCGTGTTTGGGAGAGCCACCGTGCCCCACGCACGCACCGCACTTAGTCGAAAAGAGTAGGTCCTTCCCGGTGTGAGTCGTTCAAACCTTACAGTCCGGTCTTACGCAGCTTGTACTTACATGTACAAAACTGATGCGTTACGCCTAAAGGCAGTTTATCGGTTGTGCGACACAAACAAACAAACAAACCATTAAAGCTGGCTTCACACATTCGTAAATTTGGCCTCTCTAGCCTTTAGTAGTGTCCCCCAATCATGGTTAGGAGCAGGTCGGTGCAATCGAAGTCGGCGAATTCTGCTACTATTCGGCTGCCAATGTTCCAAAATTTCTAAAACATTTCGGGGATTGGACGGGAGGTTCGACCATTGTATTCGGCTACAAGTCAGCAGAAAACCAGTCAACAATTCGGGAGCATGTCGGCAATGTTTGGGGGTTAAATGTGACTCAAATTTAACTCAAATTCGGTTCGATTCGAATATAAAGGTAGACCTAAATCTGGTATGAGTGCTTCCGAACGTCAGCCGAACCTTGTCGACTGGTGTTGGGGACTTGCCGTGAATGTGTGACAGGTGCTTAAAGCACCTCAGCGCAATTGTGATGTGCATGTACATGTAGGTAGGCAATAAATGATTTTGGACTTAAGAAGGGTTGTGAATGAAATTACTGCACTTGACTTTTATTTGCTACCATTGTAAAGCGCAGTTGTGTTTATTCAAGAAAACAAAGTAAAGACTTACCTGCTATTTACTGCCGTTGTTAAATCTAAGTTTTCGTGCTGTGACGTTCGGGTGCATTCTGACCAGAGTTATGCCACGCCTACCTTACTCACTGTTACTGTACGAATCTAAATGAATTTTGAGTTAAATTGAAATGCCTGATGCCTTTTGATAATCACTTAATTGACACAACAAAAGTACAGCGACTTTCGTAACGTCTTTAACTACATGTAGACATACAGGCAGATACGTGGGTACAACAAGATTAACCTACGTACAAGACAATAGATGAATCAACTTATATTACTTGTTCTAAAGTCTAAACATTCTTTGATGTATTTACCTATTTGTACACAGTAAGGGTTATTACCTTCTAGAATGAAATTGAATTTATCTATAGCATGAAATGTAACAAATTCCATTAAGCAAGCAGAAAAAAGGTTGAACAGCTTTGTGCATTTATCATTATATAGTGTACAATTCAAAATAGAATGATGTTCGTCTTCAATCTTATTAGGACAGAATGGATAAAACCTCTGGTCGCGGGGAATTTTTTTTGTATCTTCCTAATTCTATATTCAATTTATGACTATACGAATTCTCATCTTTGTAATCGATCTACGAACTTCAAAACTAATATAGATTTCCCGTCCGTTTGTGCCGGTAGGTGACCATGGCGTGGCGGGGGCGGTGTGGACACGCCGGGCTGGTCGTCTCCGTCTTCCTCCTGCTCCAACAGACGGCAGGAACAGCCGCTTCAGGTAGGGAGCGATCTCTCGTACATCTAACACGTAACGCTTAATGATGTCACAGTGCCATTTTACGGAATACAGTACAATGGTATTAGAATAAGTGCAATTTTACGGAATACAGTGCAATCATATTAGTATACAGTGCAATTTTACTAGTAGAATTGCACTGTATGCTAATACGATTGCACTGTATTCCGTAAAATTGCGCTGTATTCCGTAAAATTGCACTGTATTCCGTAAAATTGCACTGTATACTCTGGCACCCCCGGCCACACATCCTAAACAGGTCGGCTGGTGATCGTTAGCACTCTCACCAGATTTAGGCCACGCCTACCTTTCGTATATGAATCAAAACAAATTTGAGTTGAATTTGAGCAAAATGTGATCCCTGAACACGCCTCGTATAGTAATGGTGGCCTAAATCTAGTTAGACTGCTACCGAAAGTTAGCCGACGGTGGTCGGCTTGTGTTCGGGCCAAGGTCGGGAAAGACCCTAAATGTGTGACGTGGGTTTTTGGAGACCGTGCTCCTCTAGCCTGATTAAATCGTTTACGGTTTGCCGTCCGCCCAACACCCAGAGTTTAGATTATGCTATTGTTAAGTCACAATTCTGAGTTTGAATGAATGAAAAGTACAAAAATGCTTATGAGCATTATGCATTAGGTAGGCTCATGATTGTCTTTTTTATGATTGATATTGTCTTGTTTTACGATTGATATGCTTGGGTTGTTTATTTTGTCTCAAGTTATATACCATACTTTTCGTTCCCGCAAACTGCCCAGCCGGGCCCCGGCATTAAACCTCCCTGCAGAGACTAGTGTTGCTCATAGTATAAATATGTAGCGTGGCGGAGCGAAAATCCGGATGGTACCCAGGCTAATAAATATGTTGATCTTGTTGTTTTGTCTTCAAATCGACGCTGCCTACGTGGAAAGGAAGTATAACAACGAACAATGCTTACTTTGTCTCCAGACCCAGTACTTAGTTAGGATTAGATGCCATTTTGGATAGTCTCCAAGAATGTAGGTTTGCCCCACGCACGGTTCGGGATACGCTTGGACTATCCTGAAACTAGCCTGGGTGCCAGACTGTTTCCAGGGAACGAAATTTTGAACTCTTAACAAAAAACATTCCAGGTTGTGGGAGGCAATACCTGGGGGGAAATTCTGGGAACTTGAGCAGCCCAAACCATCCGGACCTGTACCCGAGCAACGTGGACTGCACCTGGACCATCACAGTCGACATCGACAAGAGAGTGGTCCTGACCTTCGACAGTTTTGATGTGGAGTACCATGAACACTGCAACTACGACTATGTGGTTCTTGAGGGGAAAGATGGAGATGGAGGCATCACTGAGAACTCAGGTACATGTAAGCTGAGACCTTAGCATGTAGTTCCACTATCCATCCATCTATACAGCCGTCCGTCCATCCGTCAGCCCCTTAGCTAAGCCAATAGCCGTAGCGGCAGCATAGCGTTCCATTAAAGATTTCAACCTCCTGTGGTCCTCTGCAAGGATGGTTTATGCAATTTCCCAGTATGAAATGTTTGTCCAATTGTTTAAAGTTTCAACCTTTTGTTCCAACACCAAAAAATTATGAAATCAATTGTTCTCAACTTGAGCTTTTGACCAGTCGGACCCAGACTGACCCAGTGAGTCTTGTCAAGTGGCTTCTCTCTGATGTCAACACTGCGTAAAACTGGTAAACAATGTCGGCCTCCGTCGCAGTTTGAGTGATGGTTGATGGGCCCTGATACAATGTACCTTTATTAGATACCTTTGATCCCCACTTCAAAGAAGCCACATGATGACAAGTCTCATTGGGTCAGTCTATTGAAGAAGACCAGAGTGACTGGTCGAAAGGTCTATGTGAGAGCAATTAATTTTTTTTGTGTCGGAACAAATTAAACCAAAAGGTCTAACTTTGTAACATGTGCAAATTTGACTGTTTGTCCAATTGTTGATCGGTTTATAAGGTACATGCATTGTTTACAGATGGTGACGCCTCGGGAACATATCCTGGTGTGGCTGTCTGGAAGAGGACTGATGATGGAGGTAAGAGATTTTACTTACAACCAGTAAGTATCTGACACCAGCACAGAAAACAACAACAGTCATGCTTTCAAACACCAGAGTTATCAACCAAGAATTAAGGTGTTCAAAAGTTTTCGTATTTTCCAAGAACTATGATAGAGTGGAACTCGTTGCCACCAAGCACAGTAGGGATATCATCACTTAAAAAGCTTTAAACAACACCTGCAATTAAATGTGCAAAGATTGAGTGTAACATGTCGTATATTCGCCGCCGGGCCGCGTGCCCGAAGCAGGTGTGTTACACCAAAGGGTGGTTATACCGGCTATACAGATACCGATAACCGTTGTCTTAATGCCAGATGGCCGGCTTATAACTGGATAATGATTTTGGAAACGGTCAGATCTTTCAGGTAACCTACAATACTTTTCGTCAGTGACACTAGAAATACAGGTTTATAAGCACGAACTATTGTTAGTGTCTCACGAACTATTATCTCTAGTGTCACTGACGAAAGGTAGTGGATGCTACCTGAAACGTCTGACCGTTTCCAAAATCATATCCAGTTGCTTGATGAGTAACTGTTTTTGGCGTGGTTTACCTGACAGTACCGGTCTATGAAATTTGCTCTTCTTCCTGCAGGCAGAATCTGCGGTACCAAACCTGACAACTTTACAGTGACGAGGAACTACACTTCTCAAAACAACGTCATGGCCGTGATCTTCAGGTCTGACGAGTGGGTCTCCAACACCGGATTCTACGCCACGTATGTCGCTGTGGATAAAGGTGCGATTTACGTCATTTTCAATATAACCTACTAGCAAACGTGAAACATTCATTTATGTTGTATTGCGACCTCAAACACACACCAGTTCACTGAAATATGTGTAGATTTATTAGGACTTAAATATTGAGCCTTGCAGGCCGATTCTTATGAATAAAGAGTAGTTCAAACAACCAAACAAACCAGAAGTATGCTAAACAAAACCTTTTGCCTGGCAAAAGGGGTTTTACTCTCCACTAATTCCTGGCTAGCATTTCGCGGCAAACAGAGTTTTACTCTCCACATACTCCTTGCTAACACATCAGGGCGATAAATAACGTACAGAAAATCGTTTTCGGTCAGACCCCTCTGGTCTCAGGGCTAACCAACGCACGACTGAAGAGAAACCACATGTGTGAGACCACCCTTGTGTTGGAATTCAGTGTCCGACTCACATCCAATCAGGCACCGGTGACTTCTTCCTGTTGCCGATCCTTATCTAACAATGGGGCCTTGTAAACAACAAACATCTGGGCTCAGGGATAACAAAGCCAAGAATTTGCTCCACTAAAAACCCGCTTTATCTGTTTACACACACAGATCCACCCACATGCTCTGCAAATGAGAAGGTCTGTGACGACCTTTTGGGATGTGTGGCATTTGCCAAGATATGTGACGGCGCCGACGACTGTCAAGATAAGAGCGATGAACAACACTGTGGTAAGACTAGAGAGATAGCTCATAGCTGCCCTAGCCTGCAGGTGTTGGGCACCTGTTGTGTAAAAAAGTAAGCAAAGTGCCATCATAAAGCTTTTAGTTGGACAATTTATGCATGCATGTAAGTAAGGAAGTTAAAAATCAAATGTAAAGCTACTTTATATAAGTTACATAAACTATACAGTAATAAAACTAATCCAAAACTACTCTACTACTCTCTTGTATGTACTGTACATTGTTTAATCAAGATTTTTAGGTTTCAATCACTCTAATTGTTACCTCCTTGCTAATTGGATTAATCTATTGTTTATTACAAGCAGTAGTTAACAGTAAAAATTGACTGTTGTTTCTGCCCTAATGCCGCAGCATGTGCGCAGATCCCAAACGAGCTCAGCATGTGCAAGGGTGTGCTTGACTACGCCGCGATGGCCTACCCTAACCTGTACGGCCATAAGAACGAGACGGAGCTGCTGATGTCACCACTCCTGGTCAGGCTGCGGGATCTACACGCCACTGCCGACCGCTGCCATGATGACGTGTTCGCCTTTGCCTGCTCCTTGATGGCTCCAAAGTGTGCGGAAACTAAAATCAAACCACCATGCAGGTTTGTTTGTTTGTTTTTTGTTAAATATGTATTTTGTCAGAGGAAACATATTGCTTAATGGTGTTTTTCAATGTGCTCCGGAGGGAAACCCCAAAATCACGAACATCAAGTAAAATCGGAAATAACGATACAATCATGTACCTAACAATATTAAGTCAATACAGAACAAAGGTACTAGTAACTTACAAATAATGCACCTCCTGCTAAACAAAGCTTAGTCTGAACATAAGGCATAAACAACTTTACAAAATAGGAGGAATATTGGTCTGAGTAGTACAGTACACATTGACAACCTTGTCTTGCCCTGTGTCCAATATCCTTACAGTGTTCAGTGATCAAAAGATAATATGCAATGTGTCACGAAAGAGTGACGTGTGTCACCCTTAACAAATGAAGACTGGAGTTTCACAGTCGAAAGTCCAATCTGTTGTGTTAGAAATATACAGTTCAAACTGCATCATTATGTGACTGTGTTTCATGTTTGTGGTCTTTTGTAAATGCACCCACAGGATCTGGTGTCCAGACATCAGGGCCAGCTGCCAGAACGTTAACCTGAATGGCCAGAACCTGACCGACCTGGTTCCCGACATCTGTGCGACCCTGCCGTTCTCAGAGGACTGCTTCATCAACCGGGCGAAGGCGGTAACAAGCCAGCAGGGTTCTGTCGGACAAGACAGCGGTAAATTGTGTTCATTGTAGTGTGATCATGTCGCTGAGAGGAATCAGCAAACGTTATAAGTAACAGTTTGATGAAGTACAAATTATGTAGAACAGTAGTAACCGTAATTCATTGCTATAGCCTATGTTATTAAAAGCCACAGAGTCACACATTGACGACCTCCCCCAGCTGACATTCAGAAGCAGTTTGACCAGATTTACACCGTCTACACATGTACCTTTCTATATGAATCTAAATGAATTTGAATTAAATTTGAGTCAACTTTGACTCCCCAAACATGCCCCAAACATTGCTGACTTTCACTCGTATATATGGTGACTGGTGTTCTAATGACTTACAACTGAACACCAGCCAACCATGGCCAAACCTCCCCAACAACCCACAAATGAAACATTGCTCCTGACCACTCCTAACCGTGGTTGGGGGCGTTCTGCTAGTGTTGCCGAGGCTGAATTTGTGAATGTATGCATGACGGGCTAAAGTAATTAATCACAGTGTCTAACAGTTGAAAAAAGGCAAGAATAATCTGATACTTTGGCGACTGAGACTTCACATTGTCTTTCTCCTTGTTGCTAGTGAGCGATTGTGGAGGAGTCCTGCGTGAAACAGCTGCCACGTTCCAGTCTCCCAACTTCGGCAGGGGAAACTACGACAACAACAGAGACTGTGTCTGGTCCATCAGGGTCCCCACAAACCTCGTACCGGTCATCACGTTCCACAGTTTCAATCTGGAGAGGGGGCCAGCCGACGGGAACTGTCCGTACGACTATGTCAGGATCTTTGACGGCGAATGGCCAGACAGCAAGTTCAGTAGCATCAAATGTAAGTACATCTCATCCTTAAATGTGATGATCTATATCGGACAGATTGTTCTCAGTATTGTTAAGCCACTCGTTAAGATTTGACTCTTCATTTTTTTTTTCTGATTTAAAAAAAAAAAATTTTAGATGCTCCATATTTTGCCCCCAAAAGTTGACGAAAGTCCTTGCTTTCCTAGTTGTTGAAGTTTTTTGTGAATGATAACCCAGCTTGTCATGGCATTACGGGCTATCACGGGGTGCCTTGGCCTTTTTTTTTATATTTTGCTCTGTTGCTTCAGATTTTTCATTTTAAAAAATCCAAGAACCAACAAATTAGATCAGTGTGAAACAACAAACAGAATTGAAGCTGAATAATTTTAAAGGTGTCCGACTGTCCGTGGTTTTCTGGATAATCCTGTGTAATATATAACAATCTTTTTATGCAATAGCCGTGCCATATACATGTATGACATGCCATTCTTATTTCCTCATGTGTATTGATTTCTCTGAATAACGTTGCATTTTTGTCTTATTTTGTTTTCAGTTCAAAATGGTGAAACCCCAGGTATATAGTTTCCTACTCCTTACATTTGCCAATTCAGCTGACCTATGCTTTTTACCTATCCCAAATTAAATGGTGGGCCAGATGAAAGCAGAGAAAATGTTACTGAAGTGATGATAAAACATATCATGACATTCTTCTTGGTTGTACAAATTGAACGATTTCTTAGTTTGTCAAATTGAATGATGACACATTACCTGAAAATAGACATATAGGATTTCAGCACCAAGGACAGAGCTGTTTTTCTGTATCTTTATCTTTATCTGTATTTGTATAGTCTGTATTACCCCCCTTTAGCTTAAAACCCCTGTCACACATAGCCCAATATGGCCTCCTAATCACTGCCAAACTCATATTAGGAGTAGGTAGAGTTAGCTGGTGTTCAGCCAGCTCAGTTACTGTTTGAATGCTGAATGTTTCAGAATGTTAATCGCAGAATGTTGATGCGAATCAACAGCTGAATGTTTCAGAATGAATGTTTCTGAATGTTTCAGAATGTTAAAAACATTTGGGGGTTGGTTCAGAGATTCAACCATGGCTGGCTGATGTTTGGGAAATGTAGGGGCATGGTTGGCAATCAAAGTTGACTCAAATTTAACTCAAACTATTTGTATGGAAAGGTAGGCATAGCCTTAATATGGTAAGACTGTCCCCAAACTTAAGTCAACCTTGGTCGGCTGGTGTTCGGGGGAAGGTTCTGAATGTGTGACAGGGGCTTCAGCCAACCTTGGTCGGCTGGTGTTCGGGGGAAGGTTCTGAATGTGTGACAGGGGCTTCAGCCAACCTTGGTCGGCTGGTGTTCGGGGGAAGGTTCTGAATGTGTGACAGGGGCTTCAGACAACCTTGGTCGGCTGGTGTTCGGGGGAAGGTTCTGAATGTGTGACAGATCTTGGCATTGATGAAAGCAAGATGAAGACCAAGTACATGTTCAGCGTACAGTGTACGTGCTGTTACAATATGACATGATGTTGACCTGTGATAGGCTTGGATACCTCTTGTGCAAATTCATCAACTGATTTAGTCCTTTGTTTTGATCACTGACAGAGAGGCTGTGTGGACCACTGACCACTGAACGGGTGGTGAGACCTGAAAGCTACATAGTGTCTGTCATTTTCTCAAGTGACGGACAAAACGGCAAGGAAGGTTTCAATGCTTCTTACACAACAAGGGAAAGAGGTGTGACAATTCTCTCAGAATTCCATTACTGCGTGCTGCTTTTTCTTTAATTTTTCATTAGTGATACAAAATACACAATTCAGGGTATAATTTTACAGTCATTGTGTTAGTGTATGGTGTCTTGGTGCAGGTTATTTACTGTTATTAGTAGGTTCTGTACAGGTTTTGACAAAAGCATAAAAATTATATGACAATATTCTTAATTTGTTAAGTTCTTAACAAAACAGTACATAACATGATCACTGATTAAATGTACTATGCACACCTAAATGCATCCCAATTGTACAATGTAATTCCAGGGTGGCAAAACGAAAAATAATCTGGATGAAGAAATCTGCCTGATATTGACATTTGCTGCCATTTCTTAACCCATTTTCATCATCGTTTATTTTGAAGCATTTGAGTCAGCCCCAAAACAGGCTAGGTGACTGGAGTCTCTCTATTTTATGGATACCACCCATAGTAGCTACGACAGTGATATCACATCTTTGCCTCGCAGTTATCAGCATGTCATAGGATAGGATTGATTCAACTTTAACTACTGTAACATTGAAAGAATGATAAATAGACTTTGACAAGCCAGTTTTGCCACACTGAAATTGCATTTTATGCCTCTAAACCTCTATATATTTAGAGAAATCCAATGTCTGAATTCTTGCAGGGGACCTGACCTGTAAAAGAGGTGAAGAGCTGTGTGATGACTCTGCCCTGTGCACTTCCCTGTCTGTATTCTGTGACGGGAAGTTTGACTGCTGGGATAAAAGTGATGAAGAGAACTGCCGTAAGGACAACACAGCTTACTATGAATACTTTAGTTATGCTAGAATATCAATTCTATTCTATGTTATATTAAATGTGTTTTATTTTATTTCATTTTTATTTTACTTTATAATGAATATTTTAAAGATGCTGACAATATATCAGACAATATGCAACCTCTTCTCTTTTATGCAGTGTTTTCCCTTAAAGCAGTGAGACAATTTTTTGCACGTTTGGGGGAGTGAATATTTGTAACTTAACATCTTAACTTTTAAAACAATTTTTAAAGGAAGACAAATGCAAGTAAGTATAGATCATCTTGCCTAATATTGTGGGTTGTGATGATGAGAGATGAACAGTTTTTCATGTGTTTCCATGTCTTCTTCAGAGTGCAACCCTCTGCAAGGTGAGTTGGAGGAGCTGTGTGGAAGGAGAGAAGATTCCAACTTTGTGTCCTTCCCAAACGTGATTGGACACAAGACTGCCACTGAGCTGGAGAACTCCCCACTATACAGCAGGTGAGGGAATTTTAAATGTTTGCAGGATCTTTGCAGCTTTTGATGCTCAAGACTTGTTTGGGAGGACTCTTTATGGATCTATCTTCAAAAGATTCATTCCTTGAATCAATCAGACATCGTCATTATCATATTTAAGAAATTTTGTCTAAAGGTCCCTGACTCCAGTGGTGACATATCAAAGTATAGTGTTTGTCACTTATTTGACAACGCTACAGTTTTTGTGTCCCATGAACACCTTGTAGCTTAATAGTGTTACCTTGCCAGCATAAAAATCAATTCACTCACACGAAAGATTTCTGTATGGATGCGGTTCTTGCAACTTGTATGGTAAACAGTTGTTGACACCAATCACTTTCTCACACGTTATTATATTGAAAGAGTTTTTGCAAATTCATGCTCAATGGCTGATTGCAAGTATAAACAGCATGACGGATTGTATGAGAGAATGCACTGTGATAAAAGGGACTACGTCCAACATTATAATGCTACATTCTATATCGGTTTGACTTCATCTTTTGAAGCAAATTTCCCCCACTTCTTCTATGACTTGCCAGGTTTCTTTGATTTTAGTAGTAAAATTATCTAAGGAATTAATAATACGAATTAGGTATTTCTATAATTTTAAATATTGTATAATGAGACTGACTATTACCTCATGTTTCTCCTTTAAGTCTGAAGAGCCTGATGCGTAGCTCCTGCCATCCGCACATTGATGTGTTTGTGTGTGAGATGATGTCTCCGTCGTGTGACCGCTCCACCGGCACCAGCAAAGCTCCCTGCAGGTCCTGGTGTGAGGAAATAAGGTCAGTTCCACGATGGCCCACAATTACATTTCTACAAGGCAGCCCTACCTACCGAGACAGTCCTATGATGGCCCACAACTACACTTCTACAAGCCAGTCCTACCTTCTTTTTCTTCTTCTACTTCAAGCCCTATCTCCCTACCTTCCTGGAGGCCTATCTTTTACAAAACTTCTAAGAAAAGAATGACGGACACCAGAAAATTGACATTGACAATCCGGTTTTGTCACCCTGAAATTGCATTGGATGGCTTTAAATAACAATTGAGAATATTTTTTTCCCGAAACGTGCAGGTCAGCTTGTGCTGGAGAAGATGAGTGGCCCTCAGACTTCCCCTCTTGTCAGGTTATCGAGGGTCAGGATGTTAGCAACTGTGTACAGGGACCCTCAGCCCGTAAGCTTTTCAATGTTTTTTTTATTCGTACACTTAATGGCGAGACATAGCAATGGCGCACTCTAGTTTTAAATTCAATGAAAACTTCATGCCCCCTCCAATGCAGACTGTGGACAATAATCATTTTTACCTGTCGTTAGCAAAGTGAGGGCACAAGATGGGTGGCATATTTTTGTTGGACAGGTTGATCTCTTGGTTCTGAGCCGAGCAATCTGCAGTTACGTCACATAACCCTACTATTGTACTGCAACCCCAAGCTGTTCAAGTTTCTCTCTCATCACCCAAAGGTGGGTTTGCAGTGATGCCATAAAAAAGAAGCTTTTAAATTTGGCAGAAAGGCAACCATATAGGGCATCAAAATATGTTTGGTAATAGGATAATCCATTAGTGTGCCAATTCACAATATTCTTCCTGGAGTCCTGGTGATGTAAATTACTGTATTGGTTAATGCGAGACGAGGGTTCGCCATGCCTCCATCAGGGTGATAGAAGTGAATCACAATGAACGTCCAGTTCCTGTATTTTGACCATCATACAATTGGTCATGCTCTTACTCTTTTTCAAAAGATGTGGTGGGTTAATGCAGGGGTGTTACAGTCCCCAAACATGGTTTGACCTCCATTTCGAGAGCCTTAAGTCCTATTCAAAAGCCTATTAGTAAAGTACTCAGTTTCACCTGAGTGAAGTGAGGAAAGTTAATGTGCCTATCTTTAAAGAGCACAAGGTATTTTCAACATTTCATGTAACCGGTGTTCTCTAACTGAATATCTTCTGGATCATTGCTGCAAATTTTTAACATGTTACCATCAGAAACTACATAATTATTGCTCCATCTCCAGGAGACTGTTACCACGGGAAGGGAGCCAACTTCGTGGGCACCACTGCCGTGACAGAGACTGGCCAGAGCTGTACCGACTGGGCAGATCATAAGTACGAGGTCAGCAACTTTGAATGGGCCAACCTGGACAACAACTACTGCCGCAACCCCGGGAATGTGGCTGAGCGGCCGTGGTGCTACGTGGGCAACCAGTGGGAGTACTGTCGTGTACAGCCATGCAGTGGTGGGTTAACGTGACCGTTATGATACTAATGTTAACCATATACGCCGTTTTGATAGCATTTATGTGGCATTATTGGTGTCCATTTGTACCTGTCAGATGTATTTGCAATCCTTTTAAGCCTCTGTCACACACGAATATGGCCTCCTCAACACTATTTGAACGCTTCCAACCATGGTTTCTAGTACATGTAGGTTGGTGCAAAGTTGGCTGGTGTTTGGGGAGGTTGATTACTGTTCGCCTGTGCCATCCAAATCTTTTAAAATGTTCAAAACATTCAGGGGTTTGTCGGCAGGTTTGGCCACGGTTGGTCAGTGTTCGGCTGTAAGTTAGCAGAACACCTGCTTGGCTGTTCAGGAGTAAGTCAGCAGTGTTCAGGGCATGCATAGTTGTGAAATTTGACTCAAATTCAACTCGATCATCACAATTTTGTTTCAATTTGTATTAGAAATGTAGGTGTGACCTAAATCTGGTTGGTTATATTGCTCTTGAACATCACTGATGGTGAACCAGGTCGACTGGTGTTCGGGAACAAATTCGGGAGAAGGGTGTGACAGGGGGTTAAAGGCAGTTGTGGAATGATTCAAAACTACTAGAAAATTCTGTGTTTTTAGGGAAGGTTTGCCAAAATCGAGGACTCCCCAGAAATGTCCAAGCCACTCCTGTGAAAAACTTCTACTGGCCAGGCGATAGGGTGACGTATAGCTGTAACTCCAGTTACAGCCTGAAGGGCCCTGCAATCATCACCTGTCTGGACAACTCCACCTGGAGCAGCCAGCTTCCTACTTGCGTTGGTAAGAAAATAGCTTACAGCTTTGACACTTGATCTAAAAAGCCGTATGAAGATGTTAGAAAAATGGATCATGATCATAGTGATCTTGATCCAGTTTTACTGCTTAAAGAAGAGCCAATCTCCCACTGGTCGTGAGAGAGAAGACAGACGTGCTGTACAGTTATGTGTATTAATTTTACCGGTTCATTATACTGGGGGAAATTCCCCTGGCTCTTTTCTACAAGTACAATGAACAGTGGACCACGGCTAAATGTCCATCCTATCCAGTAATGGTCTGGGACCCTTTACAGTTAGCGTGCATGTTGGGTTAGCGACAACAGCTGGGATTCAAACTCCCAAACTCTTGGTCCAGAGGCCGCTGGGTATGCAAGCTACTAAGTTACTTTTATAATAATTAATTTAATGTCAGTTGTATTATTTGGGAGCCAAATTGGTGTTTAGAGATGCCTGAGTGAACATGTGTTCTTGCCACAGTGAATGAGCACAGGCAGTTGTTGGAGGATCTGTTTGACGTGTACAGTTCAGAGGCGGCCCCCTCGGATCTGCCAGTGGATGTCACCGCAGTGTTCTCTGGACAAGTTGTCAACATAGTGTCACTGGTAGGCTGTCGCAGTCTGTCACATATTCCAGCTCTCATACACTCGACAAACAGAGCCACAGTTCTCATAAACTAGATGGCACTGTTTAGATGAAAAAAAAGAACTCGAGGACAATCATTTTATGTCTTAAAGTTTTTCTCTTGTTGTATACAAACACGTCAACACACACACACACACACACACACACACACATTAGTCAGTTTCAGATATAAGTAGTAACATAAATTGTTGACACAATGATGCAATTACTGATACCTGATGTTTTTACATTTGATATGGAAAAACACCACACTTTTCAATATACAATGTCATGCATCCCACATATAATAATGTAGCCAAGTCTAAGAACATAGTCAGCACTGACATGAACAATTTTTCTTTTTCTGTTTCTGTATAGGATGAGACTGGACCGGAAATACAAACGGAAGTTGTGATTGAATTGGTGAGTCAACCAGTTGACAAATTTGATGCCCTCTTTAAAGGGATTTTTTTAAATTTAAGTTGAAGCAGATAATTGACTTTAGAGCAGAGAGGGCAGTCATCTCTAACGTTAATCTGAAAAATTAATTGAAGAGTATAACTTACAAGTCTCTAATATAACTTTCAACCATGAACTTTTGCAGAATTGAATTTTGATCATTAAACTGAGGTTTTTAAGTAAGTTGTGAAAAAATCATAGCACTCACTCACAGCAGTCATGTCTAATATGGAAACTTCAACCTCTTGCAGCGCTGGATTGACAAAAGGCTATCTTGGTCACCCGCCTCATATGGCAACATAGAAATTTTACAGGTGGCCTATGAGAGGGTCTGGGCTCCTACTGTGTTGCTGCAGAGGAAGTGAGTCAAGTTAATTAGGCTTATATAGGGCTAAATACACTTCACTTTTAATACTATAAGTCTTAAAGTCAAAACTGTACTCCTTTCGTTTTGAGGCTGATCATCTAACACTCCTGACAGAACTTTGGTCAATATTTTCAGATTTCTGTCAAAATTGTTTCCCAGGAGGTTGCTAAATTTGGAACAAAAAATGAAAAATAATATACAGTATGATAATCATTCTATCTTTTAAGCAGTACACGTAGTCAACACTCATAAAACTGCATCATTCTGCCTTTTAAGCAGAGATTTCATGTTCCACAAATGTGGTAAATCGTCATAAATAAATACTAGAAGATGGCGGTAGCCTCCTCAACAATGTACAACAAAGTTTGACGTCTCTGGGCAAATCCAAGTTAGTAGTTAGGTCAACACTCTTTCCCAATGTCCCCATGTCTGCAGTGCTGACACTAGCTTCACCAGTTGGCCAGTCGTGGACGTGACCTTGACGTCAGGGGGAGAGGTGATCTGGCAGGTGCAGACCCTGGTCACCACCACCTGTGACCTTGACCAGTACCTCTTCCCCTATGACTCCATGACGTGCCCTGTGTGTTTGAAGACAGACCTTACCAAAGGTGAGTCTTGTCTAAATGGTACCAAGTTAACCTAATAAGTTACCCCAAATGTTAGCATGCTACAGACTTGACTGAAGAAATGCATGTAAATTAATACACCAACTTGAACACTTTGTAGTGAACTCCGCATAAAAGTTTGTAGTAAAACTGTTTTTCCTTTGACTTAACCAACAATAAATTTAAACCTGTCACACATTCACGACGTTCCCAAACATCAACCAACACGATTTTCCTAAACTACAATTTCATTTTTGTTATCATTGTTGATGAAATATCACCCTGTAATCCACCACCTATGACGTCACGCTGTGTTCAGATGCAAATCGCGATTGATGATGACAATGAAACCGGTTCTAAATTACCTCCCAAGGTGGGGATCAAGGTGCTTTCAATGGAGTTTTCAGATGGGACCACTTGAATCCAGCTTTGGTGGAATCTGGATCGAAAGTGCTTACAGCGTATTCGTGTGAACGGGGCTTAGAAGTTAGCACATGCACAGCTTGAGTCTCTATTACATGTACAACGTACTTTCTGCAGGTGAGAAGCTGAGCTGCCCCATGGAGGGGAATGTGACGGCGGAGGGTAACCTGAACTGCAGCATGTCCTCACAGACGTCCACCGGGGAGTGGTCTGTCACCGTCACAGCGGACAGCGCGAACGACACTGGCTGTCTGCAACTGGTCCTGCAGCGCAACCCGACTTACCACATGTGCACCACCATCGCTCCCACCATCATCCTAGCCATCCTCATGGCCATCACCTTCCTCATCCCCATAGACAAGGTCAGGGATGTTCTCACACACACAAGACGAAAACAATATATTTTATGGTATGGAGTGAAACATATAACTACTATTATATCATGTGGATGATTGAAGACAAAACTCTGAGTTATCAAGTGTCTTCACATACACGTGTAATCCTTTTGGCCTTCCTCATACCCGTACACAAGGTCAGCGCCAACCCTATGTTAGGCAATATTGGCCCACTAACATACCACTAACATACCACTAACATAACTACGTCACCAGGTGACTGGGTCCGCCATCTTTGTTCTCTATTTGCTCTGACAACCATTAAGGTTGTGTTCAGTTGTGCACTTAATTGTCATCTGGAGTCGTTCCTCAGCAGCATATGCAGGTGCAGGGTTGTTTCAATATACACACAGTCTGTATTGAAACAATATATTTCATCCATATAGTACCTATGGTATGGAGTGTAATTAAAACGAAACGCACACACACAAGAACACATGCATGCACACACACACACACACACACACACACACACACACACACACACACACACACATATACACAAACACACACACGCACACACACATACACACACACGCACTCGCATACACAGATGGAAGGAGACAGACACAGATACATGTACATCATGTGGACGATTTAAGTGTCTATTATAATATATAATATATACATTATAATATATAATATAAGTTTACATCTGTATGTGAACTATTGTCTACTGCATGTTGTTTACCCACAGGGAGATCGGCTGGGGTACGGGATGGGAGTCTTGCTGTCCATGGTGGTATCCCTCGTTGTCATCACGAGCTTCCTTCCACGCTCCACTCATATTCCCTTTGTTGGTGAGTCATGGCCCAAATCCTTCCATTCCAGTATCATATGTGTAACGTCCTGTAATTACTGTGAATCATGATGTATTTTTATCTTTGTGGTTTTCACAGTCACGTCTGTACCATGAACATCATGATCATGATTATCATTATCGTGAACGTTACACGTCAAGTAATTCATCAACCTTCGTTCTGCTGCTCCTTCCACCACCGCAAACGTCATGACATTGTAGTTCCGCGAACATGATTATTGGCCATTTTTCTCAGACCGCAAACTCTTGCTACTGCAAACATGATTCATTGGTTTTCTATCATCAATAAGCATTCTAAGTGATGAAGACATTGCCTATGGGTATTGTATCATTAGCTAATTCTAATATATATACTACATCAAACCCCTTAGTCTGTTTTACAGAATGGATTTGGGCCTTGTAAATTATGAGCTCATTGTCATGATATAAGTAAGGTACACATACATAAGTACAGTATAGTCCACAATTAAGTGACACTCATCTTCTATCTTCCCTTGGTTACATAATGAAAGAATATTTTTAAAAAATCAGTGGCATTTCTTCCTTTGCAGGGACCTTTGTGGTCGTGTCCATGTCCTTCATGGCATTCTTCATGCTGGTGACTCTCGCCATCCTCATCATGTCTGGCAAGGAAGGTGACCTCCCGCCTTGGGCCCGTACCATCTTCCTCAGGTATTCATCCTTGAATGTGTATAATGGAGCACAGTCAAACTTGCCTAAGATTTCCAGTGACCACCCAAGGGATCAAGGAAAAGTGGCGCCGGCCTTCGTAGACAAGTTGTCGTCTTAGACAAAAAGCATGGCAACAAAACAAGAAAACCACTGTAACAGCAAAATATGTCCAGTAGCACCCATTTTACAGTAGACTGCCCCTTAGACCCAAAGTGATATATACATGTATTCCTCAGGTGACGAGAAGAAGTACTCAAGTCAGAATCCTTGATTTTGTCTAAGATTTTGTGTACAAACCTGATGAATTATATTCGGAATGTACTCTGTTGTTTAGGTACATGGCCCAAGCTCTCCTGATGGGAGATCTGTCCAAGAAGAACACAATGAAGGTGGGCGGCAGCAAGAACGTCAACATCGTCAGCTATGAGAATGGCTCTTTCACTGAGTTATGGCCGAAGGACGAAACTCAGGAGTCAACCGTTGAACAGGCAAAGCCAGCAGACGCCGACCTGATGGCCATGATCAGTGGGATCAAGAACAGCCTCGACAGCCTGAATGAGAATATAAAAGCCCTGCGACAGGACAAGGAGGAGGAGGAGGAGGTGGGGGACTGGGTGCTGCTGTCCCAAGTGTTGGACCGTCTGAGCCTGATTGTGTACCTTGTTGCCTCCATCGCTGCCGTGCCCTTGTCTCTCTACCTGGGGCGACCTTAGTGTCCGTCCCTTTACCTGGGATGACCTTAGTGCCTGTCCCTCTACCTGGGACACCCTTAGTGCCCCGTCTGTTTACCTAGGGCGCCCTTAGTCCCTGCCTCTCTACATCGGGCGCCCTTAGTGCCTCTGTCCCTCTACCTTGGGTGCCCTTAGTGACCCTGTCCCTCTGTACCTAGGGCACCCTTGGTGTCCCTGTCTCTCTACCTGGGACACCTTTAGTGCCCCTGTCAATCTAGTTTTAGTGTGAGCTTAAAATACTGACCGTGTGCTTGACTGACAGACTCATGCTAAGACATATCATATGGTACCTTACACATCTTTTTTCCTGGTAGCATCAGGCAGATTGAAGGAATATGACAGATGTCCCATGTTCTGCCTATACTAGATGTAATTGCTGTAACAGTTGTATTCAAAATTGGACAAGAGTGCTTAACTTGAACCATTGTATTCAGGACTTAATTATATAGCAACTTAGCAGCAGATAACAAGGATTACGGATAATATTATAATGTTTGCTACAGAATATTCAATTTGAACGGTTCCGTGGTAGTGAAGAATGTTATTTGATCATGAAAGCAGCAAGTAAACATAGTGGGATATGATGATTATGATGCGAGAACTAAGAGTGGTGCAATAGCTGATTGTCATTTCCATACATGTTTTTAAATGTACTAATTAGTTTTAGCCTAAGCATTAGTCAAGACTTTTAATTCACAATCATTGCACATTTATTGCTACATTTGAAACCTACATGGCACTCAATAGTCTAGAGCAAACTGCATGTTATGTTTGAACTTTGAAGGTGAATTTCAAGCTTTCTTTCTGATGATAACTCAAGTATCTTGTCTACTACTTTTATTGTTAACAATGTCTTGTATTCTACAATTATTATAGGAAAACACAAAGAAACTAATCAAACTTTATGCTCTTAGATAAAAGTCATAGTTTGAATGTTAATACCTGATCATGATGATTCTATTCATGAAATAGAGGAAATCTCACAGATCCAATAGCAAGGTTAATGACTGCTTATATGCATTGTATCCAGTATTAACAGATTGTGAAATATGGGTATTAATTTGGATTGGACATTAATTTGGGTCAATTTTTAACTACCTTTTTGATTTGTTAAATGTGAAAACAAGTTACTCTAAATAAACTAACACTGGAAGAAGTGAACATTTCTGGACATTTCAATACTATTGCTGCAGCAGATCCTGTGCACGTGCACACACACACACACACACACACACACACACACACACACACACTGTCCTTGGCGCTGAACACCATCTACTAACACTAACACTAACAGTTAACATACCCGGGGTGTTCTGTTGTGTCAAACAAAGCGTTGAGTACAGTATTGAGACCACAACTACAATACATGGAACTGATGGTGAGTTCAGCACCAAGGAGAGGTCCACAGTTATTATTAACAGGGGGGGGGGGTCAAAAAGTTTTGGTTAGAAACACTTGCTGTAGCAGAAGGTACCCTGATTGTTGGATTTGGCACGGAAAACAATTTAAAATTGTGCTGCGGGAATAATTACTTTTAATTGGTGGCTGAATGTTGATGGTTAATTATGAAGAGCAATAATGATTAATCAGGATCGCACCCCTATGTAATGTCACAAGTGGTACGGTCCGTTCGACAATGGTGCAGTGCAGCTCAGCTGTGTGGCGGACGTTGTAGTGCGGCGTGTCGTGGGTGAATTTTCTCAAACTTTTGAGAAAAATTATCTCAAATTTTCGACGTTTGTCCGCAAATTATCCGTCTAAAGTGTACAGTATATCGTTTGAACGTTGCCTGGTCGGATTTATGCCGTTCTTTGGATGTTTGAAGGAGAAAATGCGTGTTTCCTGGCAGGGCGCAGTTTGGAGAAGAAACGAAAATGGCTACTGCCATGGCGGGAAAGACGGCGTGGTGCTGTCAGAGAAGACTGACGTTCTTGCGAGGTAAGACAACAAACTATCTCCTTGAATGTACATGTTTGTACTTCCAACAAACCTGTAGCAACAGACCACGTTCTTATTTGTTATGTTAACCTTTATATTCCGTAGAAATTTGCGTTTCGTTGAACGCTATTCTCGTACACGTGTTGTGTTAGGTCATGATATTTTTTGTACTTGAGTATTTTGGATAGGGGGGTTGTTTTCTTGACTATTTGGGAACACTGAATATATTTCGATGCTAAAAACGTTTTGTTTTGTTTGAAATTTCCGCAGTTTAGTCAATGAACACCTTTTGGAAATGTACCACACGTGTGCATAATTAAAACCTCATTAAAACCTCATTGGAATCCCCTTCCGGTCAGAAGTTCAAAACTGCAAACCAAACTTCGATATCGTTTGTTGCTGCCGAGATATTTCAATTTAAAGGTTAACCCTAACCCTAACCCTGACCCTAATAACCCTAACCCTAACCCTAGCAAAATTAAATTCGATCAATAACATCGAAACCATGGTATCATTGGAATCCCCTTCCGGTCAGAAGTTCAAAACTGCAAACCAAACTTCGATATCGTTTGTTGCTGCCGAGATATTTCAATTTAAAGGTTAACCCTAACCCTAACCCTAACCCTAATAACCCTAACCCTAACCCTAGCAAAATTAAATTCGATCAATAACATGGAAACCATGGTATCATTGGAATCGCCTTCCGGTCAGAAGTTCAAAACTGCAAACCAAACTTCGATATCGTTTGTCGTTGCTGAGATCTCGACCCTAACCCTAATTTAAGGCTAACCCTAACCCTAACCCTAACCCTAACCCTAACCTAATTCTAATCGATCAATAACATGGAAACCATGGTATCATTGGAATCGCCTTCCGGTCAGAAGTTCAAAACTGCAAACCAAACTTCGATATCGTTTGTCGTTGCTGAGATCTTTTAATTTAAAGGTTAACCCTAACCCTAACCCTAACCCTAACCCTAATAACCCTAACCCTAACCCT